TGCATAAAAAGAGCTGGAGCTGCAGCTTGATCTTCAGTGACAACTGAACCATCATCAGGAGCATGATAGGAATATAAGTCAGACACATTAAATGTACTTGATGTGTTAAAGTCAGGTGGAAGTTGGACAACGTATGCATTGTCGTTGATACGTTTCAATATAGGAAAGGGTCCGAACTTTCTCTTGCTGAGCTTCGAATAAGTGCCAGTAGGAAACCTTTCCTTCCTCATCCGAACCCAAACAAGTTCTCCAGGTTCAAAAATCTTCTCCCTTCTGTGAGCATCGGCGGCAAGCTTGTATTGGTCATTGGAATTCTGCAGCTTCAAGCGAACCTTAGATAACATCTCCGAGAATTGATCAACCCATGCGGAAGCACTCTTGCTTTTACATTTCGGAATTACTGCAATATCAACACAAGTGTTGGGCATTTTTGTATACACAATGCTAAAGGGACACATACCCGTAGATCTATTGGGCATTGAGTTGAAAGCAAATTCAGCTTGGCCCAGAACTTCATCCCAAATTTTTGGCTGTTCTTGTACGAGGCAGCGGAGAAGATTGCCCAACGTGCGATTCACAACTTCGGTCTGCCCGTCAGTTTGCGGGTGGTACGCCGAACTTAGTTGGAGTTGTGTGCTTAGCCTCTTCCATAATTCCCGCCAGAAGTGGCTTATGAACTTCACATCTCTGTCGGATGTCAGGCTTCTTGGCACTCCATGCAACCGCACAATTTCCCGGAAGAACAATTTGGCAATGTTCACGGCATCAGATGTCTTCTTACACGCCACAAAATGCGCCATTTTCGAAAATCGATCCACAACAACCATTATGGAATCATTCCCTCGTTTCGTACGCGGTAGCCCAAGCACAAAATCTAAACTGAGATCTTCCCAGATCGAATCCGGCACCGGTAATGGTTGATATAAGCCTGTATTTTGCCCGCCCCCTTTGTACGTTTGGCAGACAGTGCACCGCTCAACAAACCTTGCAACATCTCTTCTCAGATGTGGCCAATAAAACTTAGCTTGCATCTGTGTCAAAGTGTTGTCACGCCCCACATGGGCTGCCAGACCTCCATTGTGAACTTCCTGTATAAGCAGTCGGCGCCAAGAGGAATCGGGAATGCAGAGCAAATTGTTTTTAAACAGGAAATTATGCTGTATGGAATACTCCTCAATTGGCTCCTTGTTAGTGCAGCTAATCCAAGCTGAAGCAAAATCTTTATCGGTCACATATAAATCACAGAGGCTAGTTAGTCCAACAAACTCCGTCTGCAATTGCGTGATCAAAACAGCCCGACGACTCAAGGCATCTGCAACCCGGTTCTGAGCTCCGCTCTTGTGCTTTAACACAAATGTGAACTTCTGTAAAAATAGAATCCACCTCGCATGCATGCGATTAATGTTTTTTTGTGAATTTATGTATTGCAAAGCTTTGTGATCACTACTCAACACGAAGTCTTGGTGCAGTAAGTAATGCTCCCACTGTTTTAATGCCCTCACGACTGCATACAACTCTTGCTCGTATACTGACCAACGTTGTCGTGACGGGCACAATTTTTCACTAAAATACTCAATGGGCCGGTTGTCCTGTGAGAGGACCGCCCCAATTCCAACTGTGGAGGCGTCGGTTTCGACTGAGAAGGGCTTGTCGAAATTGGGAAGAATGAGAACAGGTGCTGAGGATAATGCCGTTTTGAGTGCTTCGAAACTTTGCTGTTGCTCGTCCTTCCATTGGAATTGTTTGAGTTTAAACACATATTCAGGTCGATCGAGCAAGTATAATTGCTGGAAGATCCTTTTAATAAACCTTCTAAAAATTAGCTAACCCATGGCAAGCTCCTTATTCTCAGAGAAGGTTCTTGGCTGTTGCCACTAGCTATTGCCAGCCACCCTTCTTAAGGATCAGCTGCTATCACCCTCAAACAGAAATCTTAAATCCAGAAATAGCAACAGTGGTGTTGCAATTCACATTTGGGAATGTTTAGAGTATAATTTGTTCTATCCTCAAAGACTTCAAAGATCGTCGGTTAAAATGCTGCACATGAGCGCTCTCTAAGCTGCCGCTGAAATACTAGCACGTCATCAAAAATAGGCCACGCACATTTATTGAGCGAAATGTTTTAAAAACCTCATTCATGAGCTCTCATGAATGTTGCGGGGCATTGCAGAGGCGAATGGGCATCACCTCCATTCATGAGAGTCCTTCACGCGTCTTAAATGCCGTTTTCATTCATCCCCTGGATCTAATAACGGATTTGATTGGTATCCGCTTCGTAGATCCAATTTAGAAAATATATTTGCGACCCAGCCAACCTTTCTAGCATTCTCTCGAAGCGGTGGCTATTAGGGAAATCTGAACTTCACAGTTATTTTATTGACTGCTCGACTGTCTTACACACATTCGCCAGCTTTCCATCTTTCTTTCGGCACAATGAAAGGCTGGAACGCACAGGGACTCAAGCCTATGGCTGAATAAGCTGGTTTTTCCAGCAACACTCGTCCATCAATCTGTCTGTAGATTTAGGTTTCCGTCGGGGCTCAATCTAATAGTGTGGCAGGATTAGGCAACGTTGCACCGGCACCAGCTCAATTTGTATGTTGTATATCCCGGTACTGGCGGCAGTTTCATTTGGCAAGCTTATAAGGTCCCAAATCATGCGAATTGGTTGAAGCAAGCTTTCACGCTCTCTGGCCACAGTTACATGTGTTGATCGTCATTCCGCTCCTTAACATTAAAGCCAAGATTTCGGTGGAAATCCTTCCAGGCGGTGAATTCAAATTGCATTTCGCATGACACAAGAGACATTGCAATTTTAGCGATTAAGTCACCTATAGAATTATCCTTCGTTGTTAGGCAGTAACCGCAGCTTCTTGCCCTTCCACTCTGAAAGCATTAAGGGTTAGCTCTGTGCAGTCATGTGTTTGCTCCCACGTCGAACTTGCCACGACCTTCCAAAGGATGATATATGGCAAACATCCAGTATCAACTACGTGCAATAGCACTTCGCTCCATAATGTTTGCCAATTAGAAAAAGATACTCATGCACATATCAGTGACAGTCATTTTCCATGGCCTTTCTTTTACCCAGCAATTTTTGTATGGGTTTGGGTTGTTGGCGTGGTTTTGAGCTGTAAGGATTGAACGAACAGCCTTAGATATTACAGTTTTCTTGTACAACCACTATCAACTAGCAGATCACGCACTTCCCTCCCAATTGGTGGCATTCTGGTTCCTGAACACTGCATTTCGCTGTGTGAATTTAACTGTCCTGGGCGTGGTGGAGCTAGTAGCAGCTTTTGAATCACAACACACAAGGGTTCACCTCGTCGCCTCCCAATCTTCATGAGCAGATTTTACTGCCTCTTCTTTCATCTTCTAGCCGTGCTTCATCCTCTGCCTCAACAGCTGCTTATTATGTGTCTAGTCTGGGCATTCATTTTTGACTTATGCCCGGGCTGAAAAAAATCTAAAACGATTTGAGAGTAGTGGGTTCGTTATATGCGTTTTCTTTAGGCCACATTTTTGAATTCTCAAGGTTTGCCCGCACTCAACATTCCTGCTATTGCTTACCCGCAGTTTGAACGTCCAGGTGAGGAATTGAAGCGATTCTCTTAGTCACAGTCGTGGGTTTATGGTTATCGTCCCGCTTGCCTTCAACAAATTCTTTTCCCTTGACATGCCTCTTGCTATGTTTTTTGGTCGCCTGCCATCTCTACCTTCATAAGCCATAGTTCACTGCTTGGGAATTAGGACAAACGGCATTCAGTCAAGTCTATCTTGAATGATTTCCTTACAAGCCCTCCACGTTACGCGCTACGAGCTGATTTGTGATTCATTTTAAATTCGTTCTGGGCCACTTAACGGTTTTTAAAATCCTCATGTGGTAGTCGCAGACTGACCGGTTTGCCCTCGTTGACAATGCTGATACTGCATTATAGAGTAGCCTGCTCATAATCGTGTGGGCAGGAATTATGCTCGCGGAGCAATTTGCTTTCATTCCGACGCCAATTGCGAACAGGTCCTCGACCCTCTCTAACGCTTCGCGATTGCAGCAACTGAGCCACCAGCACTGGCTCCCCCTTCAATCGACACGCGACGTAGCTTTACCTGTTTGCTGGCTCGATTTCCATGTATTCAAAAAATGTTTATCCACTCGCACGCTCCCAATCCAGGTAATCCTCAATTGTGGTCTTGCCATCAAAGAACGGAATGTCCAGTTTGACGCTGAAAATCACTATGAGGGAGCGATAGTTCCTCTCTGTCTTCTCCGACGAGTAATGAGTCTCGTCGTCTTCTTGACGCTGAAAATGTCGACGGGCAGTGAATATGCTCTATTTCCCTCATGCCGACTCCGAATCTTCGCCAATACCGGAGTTATCACGGAATCTGTCCTGTCCCCATTCCATCCCCTCGTCGCGTTTACCTGTGTGGTTGCAGGTGTCGCTGTACGAAGATTTGGATTTCCTCATATGCGAGCCCAAAATCGGTTTCAGGAATCTCGACGTACCTCTGCGTGGAGAGTGATAGGAACCCTCTGTCAACTCCTGCAGCTGATGTGCGAGGGTTAGAGTGCTCACCCCAAGGGCTTCAAGGCTTTTGTCGTCGCGGAGCCACCTCGTTTGCTGCTCTCGGCCATCTAGCTCTGATTACCTTAATCTGATGTAGTATCTTCTGCGTGAGTGATAAGCGCTAGCAAGCAAAAGAATTTGCAATGTGAACAGTATAAAGTCATCTTCTCTGTATTTCCAAATTGAAAACTAATTCAAAAAGCTTGTTTAGACTTCTATCTTTCTTCCTATAATGTTATACAGCAATGGAAAAGAAACTATGATAACTAATCTAAAAAAGGACATGCGATTTTGAAAACAGACTCCTGTAGTATAAATCAAACGAAAAGTGGAAAGTAGTAAGTGGATAAAAAGCCAGTCATGTGCACATTATCTGCGTGCGTCCGGTGTCCCGGCGTCATGTACTAATAGTGCTCCGCATCATTGGATCTATTTGAGGATGGAACCAAGCCGAACCCGAGCCTCTAACTCCTTATTTCTTTGCTTATCTTCTCTGAAACAGGTTTTCCAGTGCTCTGTATCAATACGTCAATGTTGTAGTGATGCTTAACCTAAAATAAATCATATCTTTAACTTGTTAGTTTAAGGAGCTATTTGGTTGCAGCTTTATGGCATGATTTAAGAGGCTATTTGGTGGTAGGTTTTGAGCAGGATTAAATCCAAGTTTAAATCAAATCCTTCAAAGCAGTTTTTATTTTTTATATTTTTGTTTTTTTGCTTGAATTGCAGGTTTCTTAAATTCAAGGGAATATCAGATTTAATTGATTCAGGGTTTGTTTCGTAGCAGCATTTCGCATGATTTAAACAAGATTAATATAAAATGTGATAATCATAAATTATTACTAATTGTAGACTTATTTGGTACGTCCTTGTGCCCTTGGCCTTCATCTTCTCTAGCTTGTTCATCGTTGAAAAGGTGAACTTATTAGTGGAAAATTTATCATTTGCTTATTTCTACGCTAAATGTTCTGTTGTATTTCTTATCTCTCTTGTTGAATTGCTTTTGGTTTTTTTTCCACGCTTAATATTACAAACAATGGATAGCATGTATTCATGTGTAAGTTCATTAGACTTTTATTATGCTCTTTAGTTTCTCGTTTTTTTCTAGAAAATGTTTCAAGAGGAAACATATATTGGTGTTTAATGCATAATGCTAATTCCTCGATTTTTTTTACAAAACGTTTCACTTTCTCGCCAAACATATCAGTGGTTAACGGTAATATTCCTCTCACCCAACACAACCACTCATCAAAGGGGCGAGCCTCATCATTGAAAATATATGAAAATAGAGTATAAAAATCTAAATTCCTGATGACCGTGCAAGAGAAACCTTTCAGCTTAGATTTGCAATGCTAAATAGCTTAAAAAAACATGGATAACTTTCTTTTCCTCTCGCAAAACCCATCAACCCAATTGGCTCGAAGGCTCCTTCACATTTCATGTATGTTGTTTAAACCATTATGGATTATCTCAAATGTAAGCTCTCTTATATTTGATTTACTTGTTTACATTCAAATATCCGTAAATGCTTGGTTTATATGTTTTTTTAATTTGTTCTTGTTTTGTGTTTTTTATGTTTGATGCTATTCCGCAAAGCTTTTTTGGTTTATAATATAGCTTGAATAAGATCAATTTATGGTTTCCCCAAAGTTTTATTTTTTTTTATAATGTACTTTGAGATAAGTCAATTAGAGGTTTACTTTTAGAAGATTTTGTTTGAATTATTCTCAAGTTATCATTTCATCAAGTTTGATTATATCTTCGAATTAGTCAAATTGTGTTTGGATTAGTAATGAACAAATGAGAAACTATTTTTTTTTTTGTATACATATGATGTGAGTTATGGTGCATTGCTTCTATTAATTTTGCTCATGATGCTCTAATCTTGACCATATATTGGCTACAAAGCGAGTCTTGGTATTTCATTATTTCGAGGAAGAGATGTGATTTTTTTTATAGTGAGATACCTCTAACTTTTTAAGGGGAATATAATCTAAAATTCTACAAAATTCAAGGTCTTCCAACCAATGTCTTCTATCTTCAAGCTTTTTAGCTTAGAAGGGAACGAGGGCAACTCTTTCAACTTAACTTAGCACCAGTTCAATTAACCAAGAAAACAAACATCCATCTTCAGCAGCTACTTCTGCCTCAAATCAGTACTCTAATGCTTCTAATCACTCAACATGTAGCACCTCTTAGAAATGAAATACACGGTACTTATCATTCCCAGGAAATTTATTTTTGATCCATTTTACTTTCTAGAAAGATACAAATAAATTTCCATATACAGTAAGCTCATATAGATATGATATTGTCATTTATCAATCTTTTTTTTTTAATTTTTCCAAGGTATTTGCCCTTAACTAATATGTAAATTATAGGAAGCTCTTGAAAGGAGAAATATTGCTTCCATTGCTGCAACTAATTAAGGCTTTGGAAGAGGCTTTGGCTACAGAATCGATTATTAGGAGTTTAAGTTAATGGATTGCTTATTTTTTAATTTTTTTGTACCATTTCTCAATCTCTAGTACGTCTAATTCGACCCCTTATCATTTACCTATATAGTATGTTCTATGAACTATGCTTGATATCAAAGAAGGGAAATCTATTACAAACAATCAACAATTTCTTATCCATCTATGATTGATGTTATGAAGGAGACTTCAATAGTTGCATGTCTTGTTGCCAGCCGCACATTAATTTTGCCTGTTGATTCAATTTCCATAAATCAAGCCAAATAAGCTATCCTCTATGTTTAAGCAGCACTAACAATGGGCCTTGGAGTTCTAAATCTGATAAACTGCACCATTGATAGCCACGCAAAGCAGAAATACTCCGAAAAAATAGCAATTCTTTGTGGAGATTATCCAAAATCAAACATATCTAAAAGGATTTCTCTTGGAAAACATGCTAAAAGACAAACAAAAGTATCAATTACTTGTTTTGCTGCTAACTTTTGGACTATTGGACAAGATGTTGGCTAGATACTAAAGCTTGCAGAAGCACTTGAAAATGAAATGCAAATTTGGTTTTAAAGTTTGTGGAGGGAGCCATCAGTGTCAAGTTTTTCATATTTTGTGAGCAGAAAAAAGGTATTGGAGAAGGTATTTTTAATGCCAATAGTAGAGTTGCTGCAGTTGGGTTTCACTTGAAGCAAGTTAGTGACTGGATTGATATGGTTTAAGTAAACCTGAAGATAAAGTTCTGGTGGAATAGATTGAGCATGTGAGGGGAAAAGATTTGCAATTTTGTCATGACCAATATGGGATTGAAGCTGACTCGATCTACTTGGGATGAGGCTAACAATGATGATATAATGATCACTGACATGGGAAATTCAATTTTGTTTCTTAATGTACTTGAAAAGGTTTATCAAATCTGTTATTTATCATTTGCACCAATAATATTTGTTTTTTAAATGCTTATGTATTACTTACTGGACAGTGATTTTTTTTTTTGCACATTCCTTAGAAGTTACTTGATTATTTATTTCTGTTTTTTCATGGAAGAGGCAGTGATTACAAGATTCCTTTGTATGCATACCTACAAAAACTGCAGCTATTCATGATAGGTTTATTCTTTAGAAGTTACTTGATTATTTTTTTGCACAAAGCTAGACTTTCTGAACCTTGGCTCATTCAGACTTCCAATTGTTGTGATGTGTGAGAGTTCTTTTAAGTTTCATGGAGGGTATGGAAAAACCTGTTGGCAATCTTTTTTTTATACGTTGCTCTTGGTGGTCTTCATTCATTGGCTGTGA